AGCCAGCCTTGAGCTGAAGAACTGAGGGACAGTGCCCAGGCCCAGAGTCCAAACCCCATGACTGACAAAAAAAAAAAAAAAAGCCATAATTTGGGTCCCAGCAACGTCCAAGGGACCAAAGGCCAGGCCTGCGCACTGCAGCTGCCTGTATCCTGGCTCAGCGACTGACCTGCCTCCTCCTTGGACCCTGCCAGGCTCAGCTCCGCTCTGAAGCAGGCCTGTGTCCCCAGCCAGCACCCCCGAGTGTTGGGGTGACTGGTCTGCCCCAACCCCAGCTAGGCAGTGCTAGAGCAGGGGCTGTGTTCACCCACCTCTCTGAACCACTGGGTCTGCCCTGAGTGGCTGGCGGGGCGGGGCAGGGAGGGATGGGGGGGAGGGGGGAGGAGGGAGGGGGGAGGCATTGGGTTCATTGGGTTGCCAATTCCTATCGGGTCCCTGCTCCTAGTTGCTTCACTGCCAAGCCCCCTCACGAGAGGGACCTGCAGACCCCAGTGCTGGAGCTCACACCTGTAATCCTAGTCACTCAGGAGGCTGAGAGTTAAGGATCACAGTTCAAAGCCAGCCCAGCCAGGAAAGTCTGAGTGACTCCTCTCTAATCCACAAAAAGCTGGAAGTGGAGCTGTGGCTCAAGTGGTACAGTGCCAACCTGAACAATAAAGCTAAAGGACAGCGCCCAGGTCCTAAGTTCAAGCCCCAGCACTAGCACAAAAACCAGAGTATCTTTTAGAACCCCAGTACCCGAGCACAGTGCTCCCCTCAGACTGGGGATCTCAGGCCCACTCACTGATAGTGGGGGGGAGCCACCAGAGGTACCCCAGAATCACTTAGAGGGGGTCACCCACAAAAGATGATGAGGCGACACCGGCAGGCCTAGGTCTGGCCTTGGGCCGTCTCCAGAGCCTCAGCCAAGCCCCCTGCCTGTCCTCACAGCGCCCTTCAATGCCCGACGCGGGGACTGCTGGGGACAGCGGAGGACACGGGGAGGAATGAGTCTAAGAAAGGAGCGGATTGGGTGGCTGGAGAACAGAAAGTCAAAGAAATGGGGCCCAAGACAGCACCACTGTTCCTGAAAGTTCTATGACATGTTTCCAATTCCCCAGAAACCCCTGGGACCTTCCATTCCCCAGAAGTTGCCTGAGACTAAGAAAGCAGAACATCCTGCCCATGTAACTGTAACTCCTCTGTACAGTATGTTCACAAATAAAATTAAATTAAATTAAAAAAAAAAAAGAAAGCAGAAGCCTGAGTTCTCTAACGGACACCGTTCAGTGCGCACCTCCCTGCTAGAAGGGAAGGATGAACTAGGAAAAGCAGGGACCCCAAGTCTTCTTAACTCCCTTTCCACCCCAACCAAGAGCTGAATAGAGCCATGCATGTGTATGTGCATGTGCGTCTGCATGTGTGTGGTGTACTGGGCTTGAACTCAGGGCCTGGGCACTGTCCCTGAGCTTTTTTGCTCAGGTCTACCACTTGAGCTGTAGCTCTCCTTCTGAGTTGGCAGTGGTTAATTGGAGCTAAGTCCTGTGGACTTTTTCCTGCCCAGGCTGGCTTTGAACTACAATCCTCAGATCTCAGCCTTCTGAATAGCTGGCTGAGTAGAGCTTTCTGATTCAGTGGAGAAGTCTATTTCTAAGCTAGGTCACACAAATCCTTTTTTTTTTTTTTTAAGTGTATAATAATCTAATAGCCAAGAAAAAAAAAGAGCTTTGTGAAATGCAAATCTAATTTCTGTCCCAGACAGACCCACCGCCTCTTTGCTGCCTCTAACATTCTAAATAAAATCTAGCGCCTTCGCCAAGAATAACTTCTACTTACTGAGTGTCTGAAAGCTGTGCCAGACCAATGCGATAGATGCTGTGGAGATGAGGTCCCAAAGGCTCGCGCTGGACGGAGGCTGAGTGGCTGCACCCACAGGCTTTTTGTGGCTGAGGAAAATGTCCCATGGCAGCAGGGTAATGGCAGGGCGTTAACTGAGAATACTCAAAGCCACTGAGCCATATATGAGCAAATTGGATGGCATGTGAATTTTATCTCCATAAAGCCTTTCTAAAACAATACTTTTACTGCTTCTCACAGTAGGTTCCTAGCCTTGATCACAATGTGGAAACTGAGGCGAGGTCAGAGGACATTCCTAGACCCAAAGCTTGTGTGTAGACTAAGGAAATGCATTTTTCAAAAAGGATTAGGCAGTATAGATTAGGGGAAATGAGGCATGAGGAATAGAATTCAGAAAGAAGCCATGCATCTAGAAACACAGGACTAGGGGTTGGGAAGGTGGCTCAGTGGTAGAGTGCTTGCCTTGTATGCATGAGGCCCTGGGTTTGATTCCTCATAAGCAGAAAAAGCCGGAAGTGGTGCTGTGGCTCAAATAGAGCACTAGCCTTGAGCTGAAGAGCTGAGGGACGGCACCTAGGCCCAGAGTTCAGGCCCCATGACCAAAAAAGAAAAAAAAAAAACAAGATTATCTTCCTTGGTTCTAAATTATACTGTTTCTGAATATAAAAGATAAACCTGCTAATGGTAGGATGTATTCTTTCCTAAAAGGGATACCCAAATATAATGGTCAAATATTTACAGTATAGGTCAGTCTCAGAGGCCCTGAGCTCCAATAAAAAAATACAGCACGAAAAGTGACTAAAAAAGCAAAGATAAACTTATCTTTGTTTAACTTTAAGTCAGCCAGCCCCTGCCTTCATCATATATAAACCCAGATGTCCAAGGGCTGGGTGTCTCCCTTTGAGAACCGTCCAATGGCTGGGTGTCTCCCTTTGAGAACCAGTTCGTGTTTCTCTGCCTTTCTGCCTGCCTGCTTGAAGTCTCACTTAACAAAAGCTCTGCCAAGTTCTTACCATTGTGACTTGTCCAAAAATTTATTCTGTGATCAAAATCAAGGATCTGATATTTCACAAGCACTCACCTGAACTCAGTGACGGCACAAGGCAGTTCTCAAAGCCAAAGACACAGCAACTGCCCAGACAGGATTAGTGGAAGGAGAGGAGCCATCCTGGGTCATCTAGCCCCTGGGGACACAGAAGCCCAGGCACCTGACCCCACCCAGCCTTCTCAGTCTGTGCTAGGGACCCACAGGACACAAAAGGCAAAAACACACAACCAACACACACACACACACACAGACTAGCAGCAGTAAACAGCTTCCGGTTTAACACCTTCATTACTGAGCCTGGGATTCCTGTAGTTCTCAGCTTTCCCACAGGCCATCTGCCACCCTCCCCATACAAAGTCTGCTTTCTCCACTGGGGGCACCATGAAGGGACATCTGAGCTTGTCATGGGGTTGGTGGAGGTGTATGGTCAGCCCTGTTTTGGGCTGTCTTAGCTACTCAGCAGGCTGAGATCAGAGGATAATGGTTCTAAGCCAGCCTAGGCAGAAAAGTCAACTCTAAAAGTGGGCTGCAACTTCCATCTGGAATTAAGGCAATCACTTTGGTGTCACACAAGCATAAGGACCACATATCCCAGATTTATTAACGTTCGACAACAATAATTTAAAGGCAGAAAAGGATCCCATTACAGGAAATGAAATATTGACAAATGATGAAAACTGATCAGAGGTCAAACACAATACAATCAGTTACCAATGTTCAGAGTGGCGCCAACTGCCAATTGTGCATCTTCCACATAACATCCTGTTTTTCCCTCCCCAACAAAAGCAGATGAACCCAAGCTAGCTCTATGAACTGCGTCGGGAGTTCCTACTTCCATCTGAAAGGAACACACACTGGCAGGGCACCAAGCGCTAACGTGCCGCTGCCCCCTCCACCACGGAGACCACCAGGTGGTCTGGCATTTAGACAAATGGTAGCATTACAGTAACAACGTTAGCAACTTTAAGATAATACTGGGCCATTTTTTTTCAATGTACAAATAGGTTAAACCTAAAAAGACATACTTTTTAAAAAGTTCTAAATTTAAGAAACAGAGTAAACATAAGTCGATCAAGTCTCAACAGTACCTATTCAAACACAAAATCAGAACAAACACAACTTTTAGAAGAGCCCATTTCAGTCCTGGTGGCAACAGCAGGAACTTGGGAGGGTCCTTTTGTTCAGGGCTGATCTAAAAGCTTGTTAATACTACCTTAAATCAGGCCTACAATGCCCTTTCAAAGAATCTATACCCACCAGAAACTGGGCAAAGTACAATTGGAAAACGACATTACTGCCTTTCCCAAGGATTAAGACCTAACCACTGGCAGTATGCCCAGATCAGGTCTCAATTCCTAATGATGCAGTTAGAGGTCTTTGCACCAAACGCCATGGTATTTTCAGGAAGGTCTTGGCTGGAGCAGGTATGGCAATGGCACACCTGGGCTACAGGATCATATATGCCCCTCCATCCCGCCCCCCCCCATACTACCTGCCCGTTATTAGCACCAGTAGATGCCAGTCTGTCCTCTAGAGCACACGCTTTAAAGTTGATCAGAGCCTTTCAATTCATTCAGGAAAACAAGCTTAGAAATTGCATATTTAGCTGATGCAAGTTTAACTCTTGAGTCACTTAATAAATTGTGAATTAGCTACCATTTGTGGTCAATTGAACACTTCTGGTATTTGTGTCAAAACCAAATATTTTTCCCTATACAGTACGAACAATGTTGATTTGTGTACAAAAAAAGTGCCAGTTTTATTTACAAACTAGTTTTAAGTAAACTTTCAAGCCTGCTTTTGGAGCAGTGAGGTTGCAGATCATGAGTCTGAGGCCACCTCCCTCTGAAGCCTGGACTGCCACCCAGCGAGCTAAGGTGAGTCACAGCCAGCCTGCCTGCCTGCCTGCAAAAGCCAACCGGGACAAGTTCTTCCTAACAATCCAAGTAGCTTTTGTTTGAAATAGGCTTTGTCTTTCTAGGTGACGCTGTAACATCAATCAACAGGATTGACTGAGGTAGCTACACAGTTTTAGATGCTGTTAATGAACCTTAATGACAATTCATGGTGTAGCTTTCTTGATTCACTTTAGCTGATGTTTTTTTTTTTGGGGGGGGGAAGAGGGGGGAAAAAAATCAGCAAACTAAGAGCATTCAGTTCATTCAGAAGTCAGCATCCAAGGTGAAAGAATTCTCTGTTGGACTGGACATCACTCCCATTCTCTGATACTCGCCTACTCTCTTCTCAAAGAAGTTAGTCTTCCCTTCCAGTGAAATATTCTCCATGAAATCAAATGGATTTTCTACTCTGAAAACCTGGAAAAGTTCACATCAAGATATAAATACCAAACACTACCAATTTCCAAAAGGCTGCATGCAGCAGGCTATAAGATGATGCTTTACCTTGCTAAACCCCAGCTCCAACATAAGCCTGTCTGCCACGAATTCAATGTACTGCTTCATTAGTGTGCAATTCATCCCAATGAGCTTCACAGGCAAGGCCTCTGTGAGGAACTCCTAGAGAACAAAACAAAGCCACTGAGTGTGTAGACTCGCAGACACCTTCCAGCAAGCACCAGTGGCCCGCACCTGTCACCCACCTGTTCTATCCTAACAGCATTGATAATTATTTCCTTCACTCTCTCCTCCGACGGTTTGTGTACCAGGTGTTTGAACATCAGGCAAGCAAAGTCACAGTGTAAGCCCTGGAAGAAAGGTCGAGATCACCACAAAGCAGATTTCTAGCAGTAATGTGGAACGTGGACTACTCTTCATTTCCTTGTGTGACTGGCCTGGCTATGCTCAGAGCACCACTGTGGAAAGGAAGACAACTGTCTGCCTACTCTGATGTCCCTGAGGAGCTTCAGTCCCTCCCACTGCCCTCAAAGCTACCACCAAATAAGGAAGATCCAGGACCATCCTTTCTTGCTGCTCAACAGAGGCAGAACTTTTTGCTCCTTTTTTCATGTGTGCCAATAATGAGACTTGAACTCAAGTTCAGGATGTGCTCTTTTTGTGGGGTAACAAGAGGATTTGCCTGTGCTGGTTTTTGAACCGTGATCCTCAGGTCTCAGTCCCGAGTAGTTAGGATTACAGGTGTGAGCTACAGGGCACCCAACGTGCTGGCCTTTGGTCAGCATGTCTAATTTGCCACTACTCCCAGCATGAACAGCCAGCTAGCTTCCAAGATGGGCAGGAACTAGTGATTCAATTTCTCTTTTGTGTGTGTGGGGGGGGGGGTGGGGGGAGAGGCCAGTCATGGGGCCTGAACTCTGGGCCTGGTCGCTGTCCCTCAGCTATTCAGCTCAAGACTAGTGCTCTACCACTTGAACCACAGCGCCACTTCCGGCTTTTTTTCTTTTTGCTTATGTGGTGCTGAGGAATCGAACCCAGGGCCTCATACATGCAAGGCAAGCGCTCTACCACTGAGCCACCTTCCCAGCCCTAGTGATTCCATTTCAAGTGAGGAGAATCTGCATCTCCATTCATTAAATAAAACCCCAGTAAACGTCAGAGCTCATCTTTGGGAGACCAGCCATGTCTGATCTGCCCACTGAGCTCTCTGCCAAGATCATACTCAAGTCTTTCAGATAGGATTTTACTAAAAAAGCTGGCACCTTCGCCCTTCAGTGTAACCCGAGTTCATACAGCAGACCCAAACACAGACCCTACTTCATCAGGAAGCTTACCATCTTTTAAGAACAAAGGTTAACATACAATACCAAGAAAAAATAATCAAACATCTTTTCAAGCGCCCTTTGAATTTTGTGCATTCAAGCCCACAGAATAATGGCTATGAACAAATGCATTATACAAAGAATCTGAGGATTATCATACCATTAAGAGTATTGCCAGTGCATGAGTATATAAACAGCTGAACTCACTTTAAATGTAGCTTATAGGACTGAGGGTATAGGTCAGCCATATATTACTTGTTTGAATCCCAGCACCACCATGAAATAAAAAAGCAGATATATATATACAAACACACTTATATACTATGTAACTTATGTAATTATATGTATATATTATTTACATATGCCACTGATAGCTTGGGTCCCTGAAAGCAAACACAAGGGCATGCTAAGGGGTTGCAAGTGCTTGGGCACAGGCTAGCGTGTTTCCTGTTTTACCCACCTCGTCTCTGCTAATAAGCTCATTGGAAAACGTGAGGCCAGGCATAAGTCCTCGCTTCTTCAGCCAGAATATCGACGCGAAAGAACCAGAAAAGAAGATTCCCTCCACAGCAGCAAAGGCTACAACTCGTTCTCCTAAGTGGGGGCAATACCACAATGCTTCTGGTGAGGAACTGCTGGTATTCACCACTACTGGACACAGCGCAATTTAAGTAGGGCCAAGGGAGTTCTTACCATAGGTAGCCTCTTTGTCCCCAATCCAACGCAGGGCCCAGTCTGCCTTCTTCTTCACACAAGGCATTGTTTCAATGGCATTGAAGAGAAATTCCCTGTGGGCATATGTATGTGAATATATGTGTATGTGTAGATGGATTGACAAGATCAACAATGATTAGACATCTAACCCCAAGCTTCAATGACAGAACACTGATGACCCACATTTGAGTATCTACAAATTCCACCCCCAAGGAAAGCCCCAGTTTTCCCCTCCAGACTTAAAAAAAAAAAATCACAATACTCATTTGTTTTTTGCCAGTTAACTGAAATTTAAGTAAGGAGTCTTCAGTTCATGACGCCTACTTATTCCAAAACAGTTCATTGTACCCAGAGCAATGATCTATTTATTGTTTAAAGTCTAGATCATAGGCTCTATCCTCCTTAAAGCTTAAGAACCAGAAAGTCTTGGCTGCCATTCTTCGCTACCCTCTAAATGGGTGCTCCCCAAAGGTGATTTTTCAGGTTTCAAATTGTCCAAATCTCTTTTCTGCAGTGTCTTCCATCATGCTAGCCTTCCATACTCAATTGTTCCAAGCAGGCCACAGATGAGAGTTTAGATCTCATTCCATGTTAGGCTCCTCTCCTAAAACCTGCCCTAAAATCCCACAAACAGCCCATTTCTGCCTCAGTCCTCTGATCCACCTCCATACAAACGTTTAAACTACCTGTATTTTGCTACCATTCCCTGATGTGAACTATCCTTTCAGCCAGCTGCTCTATGCCTAAATCAATCTTCAGGCTCACTGCTGGTTGTATAAATGAATACCCTTAGACTTCTACAACTTACTTTCTATATTGCATTATTAGATTCAAGAGAATCATTTTATATCTTCCTCCTATCCTTCTGCCCCAGGCCTGAGGCAGGTTCAGTACTTTTATCTCAGTAAAGATAAGCTGCTGCAATGGAAGTGGCGCTGTAGCTCAAGTGGTAGAGCAGCGCTAGCCTTGAGCTGAAGAGCTGAGGGACAGCGCTCAAGCCTAGAGTTCAAGCCCCACTACCGACCAAAAAAAAAAATTAGCTGCTGAAGCTGGGCACTGGTGACTCACACCTGTAACCCTAGCTACTCAGGAGGCTGAGATCTGAGAAAGCCAGCTCAGGAAGGACAGTCCACAAGTCTTTCATCCCCAATTAGCCACCAATAAGCTAAAAGTGGAGCTGTGGCTCAAGTGGTAGAGTGCTAGCCTTGAGCACAAAAGCACAAGAACAGTGCCCAAGCCTTGAGTTCAAGCCTCAGGACTAACACCAAAAAACTTTCAAAGAGAAGACATTAGGGCTGGGCTGGGAAGGTGGCTCAGTGGTAGAGCGCTTGCCTTGCAATGCATGAAGCCTGGGTTCGATTCCCCAGCACCACATAAGAAAAAAAAAAAAGCCGGAGGTGGCGCTGTGGCTCAAGTGGTAGAGCGCTAGCCTTGAGCTGAAGAGCTGAGGGACAGCACCCAGGCCCAGAGTTCAGGCCCCACAACCGGACCCCCCCCCCCCAAAAAAAAGAAGACATTAGGGCTGAGAAGGTGGCTCAGTGGGAGTGACTGCCTCTCATGCATGAGGTTCTGGGTTCAATTCCTCTGCACCATATAAGCAGAAAAAAAAGCCAAAGTGGCACTGTGGCTCAAGTGGTAGAGTGCTAGCCTTGAGCTGAAGGACAGAGCCAAGGCCTCAGTTCAGCCCCCCACGACTAGAAAATAAAAAAAGACATTAGTTGTTCCAACTGTAAAAATGGAAGGCAGGTGTGCTGGTGGCTTAAGCCTTTAATCCTAGCTACTCAGGAAACTGAGATCTAAGGTTCAGGGTTCAAAAGCCAGCCAGGGAATGGAAGTCTATGAGACTTTTCTCTCCAATTAGTCACCAAAAAACTGGAAGTGGAGCTGTGGGCTCAAAGCGATAGAGCATTAGTCTTGAGCAAAAAAAAAAAAAAAGCTCAGGAGCAGCACCCAGACCCTGAGTTCTAGCACAAAGGGAAAAGAAAGGAAAGCTAACTTGGTTAAGCAATTGGTTGGTAAAGTGGTTTTAGGCCCTTTGCTCAGAGCAGGCTTGACCATAGGTGCTAGGGTGCTACAAGTATCTATGACTTAGTGCATTCTATAAGCCTTAACTAAATTACTCAGAATAAAGAACAGTGAACATCTCTTGGCATACCCTCTGCACACGCACCTTTCTTTGGAATCTTTAATGTATGTGTCAATAAGGAGACTGTACATTTCAGAATGTATGTTTTCCATGGCAATTTGGAAGCCATAGAAACAGCGGGCTTCAGTAATTTGTACTTCTTGGCTAAATCGCTCCACCTAGAGGAAATAAAATACAGAGCTAAGCTGAAGAACACTCATCTGCAGGGGTAACTCAGTCAATGAATGCTGGCAGCATCACCCTCCCCTTTGTACCATTAAAAGGTTTCTTCTAGCTGGGCACCAGTGGCTCCTACTCAGTAGGCTGAGCTCTGAGGATCACGGTTCAAAGCCAGCCGAGCAGGAAAAGTCCATGAGACTCTCATCTCCAACTACTAGAAAACCAGAAGTGATGCTATGGCTCAAGCGGTAGAGTGCTCACCTTGAGCTGAAGAGCGCAGGGACAGTGCCCAAGCCGAGTTCAAACCCCACGACCGACCAAAAAAAAAAAAAGTTTCTTCTAGCTGGAGTCCAGTGGTTCACACCTGTAAATCCTAGCTACTCAGGAGGCTGAGATCTAAGGATCATAGTTCAAAGCCAACTGGACAGGAAAGTTAAGACTTTTCCCTCTAATTAAAGAGCAAAAAGCAAGAAATGGAGGTATAGCTCCAGTCATAGAGCACCAGCCTTGAGAAAAAAAGCTAAAAGTGCCCATACCCTAAGCTCAAGCCCCAATACCAGCACATATACAAAAAAATTCTATATTTAATGTGATTTTTCATGGCTTATTGATAAAATTCAGCATTCCATATGGCATGTGATCAGGAAATGGATATTTTGTAGGGTTCCTGTCAACACTTGATTGTTTGACTCATTCTTTCCTAAGTCATTTCTGCCAGTCAACATCGGGGAAAATACCATAGGGAAAAGCAACTGCAATGTGTTGTCAAATAAAACGGAACGAAAAAAAGGAAAGCGCTTGAATTCCTTAAATCTTCAAGTCAATGGAAGATAAGTGTGAAGACTCACCAAGTTTTCATTCACTATGCCATCACTTGCTGCAAAGAAGGCCAGAATGTGAGATATAAAATATCTCTCCTCAGGCTTTAGGGCTTCCCAGTGCTGGATGTCTTTGGAAAGATCCACCTGAAATTCAGAAGTTGACCATTTTAGGAAGTGGAGCTGTGGATCAAGTAGAATGAAAACCCACAGAACACAAACCCCTATGGTTCAAGCCCCATGACCCATCCATCCACCCACCCACCCACAGAAAAATAGAAAATTGGCAATGTTAGCAGATCCAAGTGTGCAAGAGCTCCTGCCAACACTTGGAAATATGCTTCTGAAGTCGACTACACACAACTCTTGACACCATTCTGCATCCCCCATTCCCCTCCCCTAACACCAACCGTCCAGGAGGAATGCTAAGTGCCGGTCAAATGAAGTTCCCGCCGCCGCCGCCGCCGCCGCCGCCCCGCCCCGCAGGGTGTTCGGGATGGGATTACCTCCTCAGCTGTCCAAAAGGAGGCCTCGGCCTTCTTATACATCTGCCAAATGTCGTGGTATTCGATTGGAAAGACCACAAAGCGGCGGGGGTTTTCTCTCAGGAGCGGTTCGTCCTCCGCGCTGGGGGCAGCTGGAACGTTAGTTTTCTGGGGGGAGCGGGGAGGGAAGGGAGGAGGAATAACAAGGATTTAAGTCTTGATCGAACCTGTGGCACTGACGCTTCCCCTGGCCACGCACTTTCCCGTGACCGGCAGTTTCATGGGGCTCCGATGCTCATCAGCTGTCACACGGCGTGGCTCGAGCACCAGAGGGGAGCGCGCCACCGACGGCCGGCGGCTCCCAGGCAGCCCCCGCAGGGGCCAGCCGCGGCCCCGGGAGGCGCGGGCCCCGGGGCGCCCGGGCGGGGTCCTTTGGCGGGAAAGGGTGGGGGCGGGGAGCCGGGCCGACCCCGGAGCAGACAATGTGGCTTTGGCGCCAAGAGCGGGCGCCCCCTGCCGGCGGCCCCGCGCTCCGGCGCCCGCGGGGACCGGCCACTCACCGGCTCGGCGGGCTCCTGGAAGATCCTCCTCGCTGTCTTGCTGGCCAGGACGCGGGTCCCGCTGAGGGACGGGGGCTGCGGGGAGACGCGTGTGAGGGGCGGCGGGAGCCCCCTCCTCCCCGCCCGGACAGCCCGCGGCCCGCCGCCCGGCCGGTTCGCCCCGGCCCCCAGCTCCCCCTGGCACTCACCGTGTTCTCCTTGTCCGTCAAGCTGAGTCCCTTCAGCGGCGACAGCTGTAGCTGCTGCTGGTCTGCGATGGTGGCGAGCGGGACGCGGACGGAAAGCATGGCGGCGGCGGCGGCGGCGGCGGTGGAGGTGGCGGCGGCGGCGGAGGTGGTGGCAGCTGAGGGAGCGACTAGAGCAGCAGCTGAGACCCGGCGCACAAGCGGCGTCCCGGACCCGCGTCCTTTAAATCGCCGTCAAACCGCGCGCGCGCACCGGAGGGGCGTGGCCCGCTCCCGCGCTCCCTATTGGCGGGCCTCGGCCACGCCCCCTTCGCGCAGAGCGCGGGAGATTCAAGCGCAGCACCGCGCCGCGCGGGAGCGTCCGCAACGCCCCGGGAGGACCTCGCCACCCTCGGCCCAGACACCGCCTCCCGGCGCCTCCGCGGCCCGGAGCGCGCAGCCGCTTGCCGATCCGGAACTGTGTGCGACTGCGTGAGGCGCGGCGATTGGAGCCCGCGCGAGAGCGGGAAGCGATGCCCCCCACTCCGCAGCTCCACCCCCCGAAAACGTCTCCGGACATGTCCGCGCGCGGGCCGGCAGTTTTGCAATTGGACTTGTAAGTTGCCTGAGAAATGCACCTAGCTGGCTGCGGGAGAGGCCTGGCTGCCATTCCTGTGCCTAAAGTGGGGGGACCCGGGCGCGATCTGAGACCAACGGTCTCAGGGCTGCTGAGCCTCCCCAACTGCAGTCGCCAGGACTGGGACGTGTGCTCTGATCTCGATGTCCCCAGGGTAAGACAGGACTTGGATCCGACCTACCCGGGGTATGAAGGCGGGAGGAGGCCCTTCCCTGAGGACAGGACCTTGTAACTTGTGCGACCCTCTGTAAACCTCCTGGCCCACAAAGTCAGGGGGAGAAAGCCCTTCCAATCCCCCGTCTTCAAAATCTCACTTGGTTTCAAACTTGGAATCTGGCCAGAAATCCCAGAACCTTCAGAGAATGGTGGGAGCACTAGGAATTCATTCACGACTCCCTGAACAACAAATCTCAGGAAGGGGAGTTTGAAAACAGGCGAAGGAAGGGGCCGGGGCAGGAACTCTGACAGTTTTCATTTCCTTTCTTGCGTGGCTTTCTGTATTGCCAGACCTTTGCCCTGCAAAGGGCAAAATTCCAGAAATAAGTCAAGAGAAAGAAACAAACGATTAAGCTGGGAACTGCAGCTCACAACCCCTAGGCTCACACAGAGAGACCCAAGAAAGACCCTTTCCAAAACCTCTTGCAGAGAACAAGTTAAAGAGGGTGGGGTAGGGAAGCACCAATCCCCCAAGTCTATTTCTGCCACCTTTTTTTTTTTTTTTGGTGCCAGTACTGTAGGGGCTTGAACTCAGAGCCTGGGAACTGCCCCTTATCTTTTTGGCTGAAGGTTTGCACCCTACTACTTGAGCCACACATTCACTTCTGGGCTTTTGCTGGAAATAAGTTTTCTTTCCCTGATTGGCTTCTTCAAACCACCATCTTCAGATCTCAGCCTCCCAAGCATCTAGGATTACAGGCATGAGCCACTGGCACCTGGCCTTACTTCGGCCATTTCTTGGAGTACTAACAGCTGTTCAAGGTCCTCTCACCATAGCCAGCAGTGAAAAACACTTCTCTTACATGAAGTAAAAACTAAAATCTTGGACTAGCACTACCAGTTTAAAGCAACTGGCAGATAATTATCCATTTCTCCTATTCCAACATCTGTCTCCAAAGAAATGATTTTTTTTTTTTACTGTTAACATCAAGGCTGAAGCTATTATATCCAACAAAACTATTAATATGTTTTTTGGTATCATCTAATACCTAACACACTCAGTTCCTGGAATCAATACCCAAAGTACAGCTGGACACCAGTGGCTCAGGCCTGTAATCCTAACTACTCAGGAGGCTGAGATCTTAGAATCATGGTTCGAAGCAAGCCCAGGCAAGAAAGCCGGTGAGACTCTTATCTCCAATGAACCACCAGAACCCGGAAGTGGTGCATTGGTTCAAGTGGTAGAGCACTTGCCTTGAGCTGAAATGCTGAGGGACAGCGCCCAGGCCCTGAGTTCAAGCCCCAGGACTGCTTAAAAAAAAAAAAATCCAAAGTGCTGGTCTTGGTTGCTCTTAGGCACCGTGTGCTTTATTTAGCTTAAGATAGACAGTAACTGTACGCTTAAGGTAGGCAGAAATGGGGCTCTCATTCTGGATTATTCTCTGAACATCTATCCGTGAAAGAAAACTTGGACAGCGGAAGAGGCGGGGATGCGCTTTTGTCGCCCTCCCTCCCCACCCTGCCCACAGCCTTGGAGTTCGTTTCTCCTCCCTTTCCCCGTTCTAAGCCAGCTGGTCTGGCTTCCACCAGGAAGCCCGTGAGATACGGGGAGTAGGGGTCCCCGCCACACCGCAGGACAGGGGAGGGGGTCCCCGCCACACCACGAGCCGAGCGCGGGCATCAGGTTCCAGACTGACCCACTTGGAAGGGCCCTTTCCTTCCCGCGCCAAGTTTGACAAGACGTCTGCTCCACAATTGGCCCACAGGCGACTAGGCCCCGCCCCCTCGGCCCGCGCTCCGCGACCACGCCCCCACAGGAGAGTGCGCCTGCGTGAATGCGGCTTCTCAGCTGATGCTTCCGCGTCTCCAGCACCGGAGGCGGAGGCCCGGGCTGTGCCTTCCGAGTCCACTCCGCTCGCGCCCTGGGCTGGGAGTCTTGGCAGTAATGGCCACAGCACCCACCACCCCCGCGCAGGTGGATCAGGTGATGTCGGATCCTTTCTAACCCAGTGCAGCAGTGGGCAGTGGGGGTTTCAGGCCCGTGTATTAGGTGAGGAAAGGAAGGCCGCAGAGCAAAGGAAGCGCCCCGTCACCCGCGTCCTGCCCTGCGGGGACAGGTGTCAGGCTCCGGCTTGGCTTTTTTGCTAGCGGCTGGTGCTCCACCACTTAAGCCACAGCTCCACACCCAGCTTTCTGACTGGCTCTGACCCTCCATCCTCAGATCTCAAATGAGATCTCCCAGTTTAGAACGCTGTCAACATAAACTCGAGTCCTCCAGGGTTTACCTGCCACCCGAGGCGTTGCTACGTTCGCTTTCTGTCCCGGGCACTCACAAACTTTTCAACAGGCTAGTTCCCAAAAACAGACACATTCTCTACCACCACCAAAATGCTAGAAATTCAGTCAGAAGAAAAACAGCAATAACTCAGCAATATAGCCTAGTACCCAGTAGTAAAAGTTTAAAAGTGACCAAAACCAAAGTGAGTTTGCCTGTGTCAACACTAACCAAAAAGAAAAGCCATTAGATTATAAAGGAAATTTTCTCATGATCACCTTCCACTGTCACAAACTACTCTGTTAGCATTACAAACTTGAACAGAAGGTGCCTCAGCCTTATACATAAAAAGATTTCTGGCACTCAATGCGGTGGCACATGCCTGTAATCCCAGCCACTTAGGAAGTGCAGATCATGAGGACTGAGGTTCAAAGCCAGCCTGCTCATAAACAAGCTGGGGTGTGATGGTAAAGCCACCTAGAATTCCAGCTACTCACAAAACATCAGTAGGGGGCTGAGAAGGTGGCTCAGTGGTAGAGTACTTGCCTTGCATGCATGAGGCCCTGGGTTCCATTCCTCAGCACCACATAAACAGAAAAAGTCAGAAGAGGTATTGTGGCTCAAGTGGCAGTGCACTAGCCTTGAGCTGAATTGCTGACGGACAGTGCTCAGGCCCAGAGTTCAAGCCCCATGACCAATCAAAAAAAAAAAAAAAAAGCCAGCCAAACAAATAAGTATGTGAGAGTCTTATCTCCAATTAACCACCCAAAATAGCCAGAAGTAGAGCTATAGCTCAAGTGATAGTTAGCCTTGAGCAAAAAAGCTCAGGGATAGCACTCAGGCCCTAAGTTTAGGCCCCATGACTGGTTCATGCGCATGCGCATGTGCTAGAGATGTGGCTCAATCATAGACTACCAACAATGAACAGGGAAGTTGTGAGAGGAAGATCATGAGGCCCTGAGTTCAAGCCCCTGAACCAGCTCAAAAGAAAAAGAGAAAAACAAAAACCTGATGCCCTAGTATCTTTTAGTGCACACATAGTTTACTATGGTGCCAAATTCTCATCAGGTGCCCTGCTACTCCTATTGCAACACTGTTCTTTTGTTTTTTTTGGTTTTTTTTGGGTCCGGTCGTGGGGCCTGAACTCTGGGCCTGGGCGCTGTCCCTCAGCTCTTCAGCTCAAGGCTAGTGCTCTACCACTTGAGCCACAGCGCCACTTCCGGCTTTTTTCTTTTTGCTTATGTGGTGCTGAGGAATCGAACCCAGGGCCTCGAGCATGCAAGGCAAGCGCTCTACCACTGAGCCACCTTCCCAGCCCTGCAACACTGTTCTGAAGGAGGAAGTAGAGGCATGGCTCAAGGGGTAGAGCACCAGCCTTGAGCAAAACAGCTCAAACTGAGTTCAAGCCCTAGTATTCACACACACACACAGAGAAAAAAAAAAAACTAAATAAACCTCACTGTTGGCAAGATTTCTTTCTTTTTTTCTTTCTTTCTTTCTTTCTTTTCAGTCGTGGGGCATGAATTCTGCCTACGCACTGTCCCTCAGCTCTTTAGCCCAAGGCCAGCACTCTACCACTTGAGCCAAAGTGCCACTTCCTTTTTCTGGTGGTTCATGGAGATAAGAGTCTCACAGATTTTCATGCCCTGACTCGCTTTGAACTACGATCCTCAGATCTCAGCCCCCAGAGTAGCTAGGATTACAGGCGTGAGCCACTGCCCCGGGCTGATTTCTTTTTTTTTTTGTCGGTCGTGGGGCTTGAACTCTGGGCCTGGGCGCTGTCCCTCAGCTCTTCAGCTCAAGGCCAGCACTCTACCGCTTGAGCCACAGTGCCACTTCCGGCTTTTTTCTTTTTGCTTATGTGGTGCTGAGGAATGGAACCCAGGGCCTCAGGCATTCAAGGCAATCGCTCTACCACTGAGCCACCTTCCCAAGCCCCTTCCTGCCACAATCTTTGTTTTTTTTTTTTTTTTTTGGTCGGCCATGGGGCTTGAACTCTGGGCCTGGGCGCTGTCCCTCAGCTCTTCAGCTCAAGGCGAGTGCTCTACCACTTGAGCTACAGCGCCACTTCCGGTTTTCTGGTGGTTTATTGGAGATAGGAGTATCACAGTCTCTCCTGCCCGGGCTGGCTTT